TGAAGATATAATCCACATGCCATACAACTCACTTGTTCAGTCGCTCAGTCATGTCCGACTCTTTGCAACCCCACAGACTGCAGCGCCACAGGCTTCCCTGTTCTTCACTATCTCCATGAGATTGTTTAAACTCATGTCCATTGAGTCGGTGATGCCATCCAACCATCTCATCCTCTGTCATCCCCTTCTCCTCCCACCTTCAACCTTTCCCAGCATCAGGGTCTTTTCCAATGAGTTGGCTCTTCACATCAGGTGGCCAGGGTATTGGAGCTTCAGCCTCAGCATCGGTCCCTCTAATGAATAGTCGGGTTGATTTCCTTTAGGATTGACTGGTTGGATCTCCTTGCTGTCCAAGGGACTCTCAAGAGTCTTCTCCAACACCACAGTTCAAAAGCATCAATTCTTCGGCGCTCAGCTTTCTTTATGGTCCACCTCTCACATCCACACGACTACTGGAAAAACCACAGCTTTGACTAGACAGACCTCTGTCAGCAAAGTAATGTCTCTGCTTTTCAATAAGCTGTCTAGGTTTGTCATAGCTTTTCTTCCAAGGAGCAAGTGTCTTTTAATTTCGTGGCTGCAGTTACCATCTGCAGTGATTTGGGAGCCCAAGAAAATAAAGTCTGTCACTGTTTCCATTGTTTCCCCATCTATTTGCCAGGAAGTGATGGGGCAGATGTCATGATCTTCATTTCTTGAATGTTGACTTTTAAAACAGCTTTTTCACTGTCCTCTCACCTTCATCAAGAGGCTCTTTAGTTCTTCACTACTTTCTGCCATAAGGGTGGTGTCATCTGCACATCTGAGGCTATTGATATTTCTCCCAGCAATCTTGATTCCAGCTTGTGCTTCACCAGGCCTGGCACTTCACATGATGTGCTCTGCATGTAAGTTAAATCAGCAGGGTGACAGCGTACAGCCTTGGTGCACTCCTCTCCCGATCTGGATCCAGTCCGTTGCTCCGCGTCCGGTTTTGCTGCTTCTTGAGCTGCGCGCAGATTTCTCAGGAAGGCGCCATTCAGTGGGCTCTCCTGTGATCATGGGGTTGGGTAGACCGTCACCTCTGCCCATATTAAACCAGTTACACAGTCTCAAGAACACCGTCATTCTCAGCCATCACCTCCCAAATTCCCAGCCCCACCACCCCTGGCAACCGCTCATGACTTTTTTCTATCTCTACAAATTTGCCTTTTTGGGGCATTTCATATAAAATGGAATCACATGCTATAGAATCATTCAACTCTCTTTTATCTCTTTTCTTCGATTCTCTTTTGTGAAAAGCCTTGTCCTTGGGCAGAGCTAGCACTGCCCACAGTTCCATGAATTCTACGCCTGAATCACCTCAAAATATGAGACTATAATACACTTGAACCTCTCAGCTTAGTGTCCATCTCAAAAAGGTTTTTGCTATGGGATTTCTCTGATGGTGCAGCACTTGAGAATCTGCTGTACAATGCAGGGGACATGGGTTTGATCCCTGGTCAGGGAACTAAGCTTCCTGATGCTGCAAGGCCGTGCACTGCAATGAAGACCCATCACAGCCAAAATAATAACTAAGAAAAGGTTTTGTCATGTCCTCAGCTTTCACTGAGGTCAAAAAGAGTATGAAAACTACTGGGGCGTTTTTGCTCAAACCCCAACTGAAAACACCACTTGAGAACATTCCTCCTAGACTAGAGCACTAAGGAAACCTGATCTCCAGGTGAACTCGGACTAGAAAAGAGAGCTCTGCTAGCCCAGCTTTCCCTTTTCCCCCTGGCTGCTAGGAGGCTCAGAGATAAAAAAGCACATGTGGCTGCAAAGCCACACTGTCATCCCAGGAGCTGGTCATAGCTTGATGGTTCTGGTGGAGTTTTAATGGTCTTTAACCCAATGTTAACAATCCATGGAGTCCCAAAGAGTCAGACATGACAGAGCAACTAAACACAGCATGACCCGACATTAAAGCAGAGTTCTTTCAGTGGGGCCTGCAGCAGAATCAGTTAGTAAACTAACAAGGCAGATTCCTACTGAACTGGAGGAGGTCTTAGAACCTGCGATTTCAATAAGACACCCAAGAGTTCCCGTTCCTTGGCTCAGGTTCCAAGTCAAAAGCAACATGAAAAAAAAAAAAGCAACATGACACACCCCTTTTCCTAGGACTGAGATGACCCATGTGGGTCAACAAACCCAATTCTTCCTCATCCTCAATCGTCCTCACCCCAGCAGGGAGCATCGGTGAGTTGGCCCAGGTGCTGTGTGCAGGGGCTGTGGTAGACGTGGCCGGCTCGCACACGCAGCCTGGGGGAAGGGCTCCGCCTGCCGAGATGACGGCGTGGCCCCCCCTTGGCTGAGAGATCTGGGAGGATCTACATGATGAGCACAACGACCAGCACCGCCTTCCCGAGACCGCATGGCCTCCATCGCAGTCCTCAGAAGAAACCAGCAGCTCCCGTGGAGACTCCGGTCCACCTGGGCCCGTGCGGCCTTCTCGACATCGCACTCCAACCCCAGGGCTCTGAGAAGCCCAGCGTCGTTCCGGCATCAGCTCTTCAGGTCCCCCTCCTGACTCGGGGGGATGTTCCCCTCCCCACCTGTCTCAGTGGGTGACCAGGTCTAACGTGGCTGGAGGAGGCGGGGGGCAGAGGAGCAGAAGGAAACCCAGGGGCGCTGGGCTCGTTCCCCCAAATGGCCCCGAGATGCCTGAGGGTGCAGCTGCGTCCTGGGCAGGCCCTGGGAGCTGGGGGCAATGACAGGTCTCAGAGAGTGTGCAAGGGTGGAGACGGGGAACCCTTCTGGGAGGTGGGGTCTCCTGACAGTCAAGGGCACAGGAAACAGGCCCACAGACAGTGGAGCCGCGTGTTTCCATGAGGGGTGGGCATGGCCTGGCAGGTTCCCCAACCCCTTGGGCCTCCTGGCTCCCTCTGCTCTGGTGAGAGGTGAAGGTCCTGGGGTGGCCGGAGCAGAATTTATCCACCCAGAAAGACCAAAGGCAGGAAGCGTGTGGGCAGGGCTCGGGGTGCCCACTTGACCTCCAGGCCTCAGAAGCGGGTGGAAGCGCTGAAAGCGGACATTCGTGGGGGACACTCGGGGCACTTCTGTGGGGGTCAGCAGTGAGAGCCCGGCGTGCGGACCTCAGGCTCAGTCTGGCTGAGAGGGGAGGTGCTCAGGGCCTTCCTAAAGGAAATCAGTCCTGAATATTCACTGGAAGGACTGGTGCTGAAGCTGAAACTCCAATACTTTGGCCACCTGATGGGAAGAACTGACTCATTTGAAAAGACCCTGATGCTGGGAAAAGTTGGAAGATGGAAGGAGAAGGGGACGACAGAGGATGAGATGGTTGGATGGAATTGTCGACTCAATGGACACGAGTTTGAGTAAACCCCAGGGGTCGGTGATGGACAGGGAGGCCTGGTGTGCTGCAGTCCATGGGGTCGCAAAGAGTTGGACATGACTGAGCAAGTGAACTGAACGCCTCTCCCAGCGGTTTACCTGGGGCACATCCTGCAGAGAGTGGCAGGGTGATGGCAGTCCTGCCCACGCCAGCGCCAAGCCCACTCCCCAAGATTTCAGCTGGGCCACTGTGACCTGGGGAAAGGGCATCACGTCTTCCTGTGGTGACTAGCTAGCCATCGTAGTAAGTCTGTTCAAATCCTGAGCCCCAGCTGCACGCGAGGCCCCACTTCCCTTCCTCCTCACTGAAATGTGACCCTGTCCCCCGACCACAGTGAAATCGGGATTCACGTGGTGTATGACTGTCCAGAACCTGCTGTGACAAAGGGCCGCAGGCTGGGAGACACAAATGTATCCTCTCCCAATCCTGGAGGCCAAAAGTCTGGAACCAGGTTCACGGGACGGAAATCCAGGTGTCGCAGAGCTGGCTCCCTCCCAAGGCTCTCGGGGAGGGGCCTTCCTGCCTCTTCCGGCCTCCAGGGGCTCCAGGTGTCCCAGCTCACGGCTGCACCCCCCCAGCCCCTGCCTTCACGGGGTCTCCTCTGTTCAGACCTGCCTGTCGTAAGGCCTCTTGTGATGGCATTAAAGGCCCAATGAGATAACCCTGGGTAATCCATACGTCACAGGACCCTTAGGGTTCATGGTGAAGGGCAGAGAAGCCTGGCGTGCTGCAGTCCATGAGGTCACAAAGAGTCAGACATAACTTAGCAACTGAGCACAACTTCATGAAAACGTAATCTCTGCATCCATTCAAGGTAGCACCTTCAATCACGGGTGAGAATTCACAACCCTGTGCGTTATTTCCATTACTCTGAAATGAAACCCTCTGCCACCTGTTATGTAACATCCTGGCTGCTCCCTAAATTACCACCCAAGGGTCATTTTCCATGTCTTTCCAAGTGGCAAAGGAAGGGATTGCTTCCAAAGGCCTGAAACCCAGAATCCCTGAAATCCACACCGTTTTGCTACATGATGACTATCTCCACTGCAAGGGGAAGCGGTGGCCAGGACAGGGGCCATGGGGCGCCCATGCAGGGGCGTCCACGATGAACAGCGGCCTCTGGGACATCCGGAGGTCGCTGAAAGGCAGGGTCCCTTTGCGGGACACCTGAGGATGCAGGAAAAACAGCTGAGAGGAAGATGAAGCGCGCAGACAAACCCGGGCCTGATGGAGAATTCTGCCTCCATTCCCCCAACACCCTCAGGATGCAGCACTTCCTGGGCTCACGAAGACTGACCCCCGAGAGATGGAAACTCCCCTCCTCCATCCACAGCACAAGACCACCATCTTTCTCCAGCTGAAAGGCCTTGGAAGGCTCCCCTGAGGCTCATCCCTCCGTAAACACCTAGCCCCCCGAGGCCCCCTGTCCTGGAGATGGGGGTGAAACTATGCGGGTTTCACCCAACTATGCGGGTGAAAGGCGCCCTGGCCGGCAGAGCAAGCTGACAGTGCATCCACTCCCAGCCTAAAGGGCCGCCCAGTCCAGCCGTTCCTCTTCTCTTCCCCTGGTGTATCAATGACCACGATCACAAAGATGGATTCTGAGACCACAGCTCCCACCACTTAGGGCCAGCAGAGAGGAGTTCCTGAAGAAGCGCTGGAGGCCCAGCCCTGATGCAGGGTTCCCGACCCCGGGCTGGGGACAGGCAAGCACTCGGGTCGATCGGTCAAGGGTCCTTTTCTCAGAAAGACAGGAGAAGGTGAGCGGGCCTTGGTACAAACCCAGCCTCAGGGAGGTTCGACCTGGTCATGAGCCAACAAGCCCCGACCCGGCCTGGGGCAGACGGCCCCCCACAAATGCAGAAACATGCTGCTGGGGAGCTCTGTGCCCTGCCCCCGGCTGCCACCATAAAGACCCTAAGCAAGGCCCAAGTCCAGAGCTCGCGGGTGGGGACAAGGCCAAGCGGTTCAGCCAAGTGCTGGACCTTCCCTCAAACCTGGACACCTCCTTCTCCGAGCCTGCTCCACCGCTAGAGGAAAGGGTGGCCACAGCCTCCACGAGAGCCACCCATGGTGTGCACCCACCCGTCAGCTCTCCGTGGAGCCACGCGAGTGAGCAGCTGTGGAGATCGGCGCCGGGGCTTCCCCACGAGGGAACTGCATCCAGCTTCTCGGACGGTCAGAGGACGAGGGGACTGCAGGCTCTGCCCACTTGGCCGGAACAGCGGGCCTGCGGTCCTCCCAGAACCCCGTCACCACCCGCCTGCCAGGACAGCGACCACGTGCACTGGGGGGAGGGCGGGAGCAGGGGCCAGAGAAGCCACTCGCAGCACACAGAGGGACCACGGCCTCATGGGAGGGCTTGCACAAGGACCGCGCGAGGGGCTGAACTGGATCTCAGGCAGGACTGGAGGCCCGGGAAGCCAGTGGTAGCAGGTCCCCCCACCCCCCCACCAAAGCGGAAGGTGACCAGGGCTGGGGCAGCGGCCCTGACATTCTGCTCCTGCCTAGGGTACTCGTAACCCTAGGACATTCTTCTCCTTCTCATCGGGATCTGGGAAGGTGCAACGGGTCTCAGCGTTCTTAAGCAGAAAGCAGCGATATACAAGCAAACCATAAACAGATACACAGCACGTCCATGTATTAAAATCTCGTTGGGGTGGACAATTTGAAACAAGGGTTTAAAATGTCTCCTTGGATAGGTGATACATTTTTTAAAAAGCCTGAAAAACATGTCCAAGCGGGAGCGGACCTCACAGACCTGCCTCTCTGGTCCCCAGGCTGGGTGGCCGGCTGTGACACCACAAGGAGCGCAGGGTGTGCAGAGCCACAGCCGGGCAGAGCCTCTCGGGACCAGCAAGGCCCGGAGCAGGGGGTCTTACCGCTGGGGGCCCAGCCCCTCACCCGAGGACGGCGGTCGGTGCCCCTGCCTCACGAGGTCAGCATGGTAAAGCCCAGCATCCAGGCAACACTCAGAACAAGCCCATTTTAAGCACAAATTACAGATAAACGACTCCAGAGGAGCACATGGTAGATGGTCAACATGCAACCAGCAATGGGCGTCAGACTGCGAGCTCAGAGCACGTCTCAGCTCCACCGAGCCACAGGCTGCGGGCTTCCCTCTGTGGTCCCCGCGCCGGACACAAGCAGGCATCTCCTGGCCTATGAAACAGTGGAGGCAGGGCGCCGGTCACACCTCCTCCCCCATCTACCCTGAGCCATGCCAGCTGAGTCCAGCCAGGACATCTCGGAGCAGAGACGAAGAGCCAGACTGGGGTCTCAGCCACAGTCCCGGTGAGTCCCCCCAAGGTCATACTGACTGGGCACCAAGGGCAGGCGTGTTCCTCCAGCACCCAGGACAATCCCCCCCGCAACTCTGCCACAGGGACTGGAGCCCTGGCCACGAGGAAACCCCGTCCTCCGGCCGGGGTGCCAAAGCGGGGAGGCAGTCCACACCATGGCACTGAAGATGTTCTAACTCACCAGAGGCGCTGGCAGACTGGGCCCCGCTGGAGGGCTTCTCGGAACCAGAACCGACCGCACTCCAATGGGTCAAGGCAGGGAGACAGGAGACATGTCCAGAGCTGAGAGAGACAACCAGGGCGCCGTCAGACGGAGGCTCCACGAGGAGGCAGAGGTCACAGCTACAAGCGCTCTGATGCCTGCGAGCTGAAAAGCATCAGCTGCATTTCTGCTTCCTGAAAGATGGCACAGATGCACTTCCCCCACTCCTCCCAAAACCTGCAACAAAAACCGCAGGACGTTGTATAAGAACCAAACCAAAGACTCGGAGGGGTGGAGAGAAGGCAGGCGGGTCAGGGACCAGGGACCCACGGAACGGCACAGCCGTCGGTTCTCTGAGTTGGGTTTTTGCCTTGTATCCCAGATTGGGAGCTAAGAAGCCAGACGGCCAGAACACCAGTTGCTGTTCTTCAGTTGCTCAGTCGTGTCCGACTCTCTGCAACCCCATGGCCTGCAGCACACCAGGCTCCCCCGTCCTCCACTACCTCCCGGACCTTGCTCAAACTTGTGTCTATTGAGTCAGTGATGCCATCCATCCATCTCATCCTCTGTTGCCCTCTTCTCCTCCTGCCTTCAATCTTTCCCAGGATCAGGGCCTTTTCCAGAGAGTCAGCTCTTCGCATCAGGTGGCCAAATGACTGGAGCTTCAGCTGAAACACCAGGAGAAGCAGGGGAAAAAAGCTGCAAAGAATGACTACTCTCTCCAGGAAAAAAAACCAGGAAAATGGCAGCAAAACAGGAAAAAAAAAACATTCAGGCAATCACTCCGCTACCTCACCCGGATGTCACCGAAGAACTGCGGCCCCCACCCTGAGTCCCAGGAGCAGAGGCCAAGGGGGAGCCTGGACGTCCCCTCAAGTGGCCGTCACGGCACTCAAACCTCCACGGGGAGGGAGGGGGCAGATAAACCAAGCTGTGGAACTGGGACTTTCTTCCCCACCGAGCAGGCACGCATCCTCCTCCAGTTCCACTGTATTAACGCAGACACCAAGCGGAGACTGGATTTCTGCATGCACACAGCATCCCCCCCTCACCTCAGTGGTCAGAAGAGGGTTAACAGAGTAAGGACCTTCCCCATCGCCAGCAAGTGAGGCCACCCCCACCTCTATCCGTGGAGACCACGTGGGGAGCAGGTCCCCTCCCCCACAGGCAACAGCAAGGAGCCTCCCCACTGGGGTATCAGCAGGGCTCAACCAAGGACCCTGGGCGTCTGCCTTCAGCGGGCTGAGAGTGACGTCTGAACAAACGGGCTAAACCGGCAGGCTCGATGAGACCGACGGTCTCGCGGCAGAATACGAAACTGTGCACATGTCCACTGAAAACCATTCGTCATCCCCCAATCCAGGAAGATCTCAAATGCGTGAAAGCCAACCGGTGGATGACATCACTGAGCGGACAGAGATGTTCGCGCTGAAACTGAGTCTGAAGCGGCAAAAACAAAAACGCTTCAACAAGTTAACTGTGAACACACTGGAAACACGTAAAAACAGAAAACCTCACTGAAAAAAAGAACAGAAAATCTCAACAAGGAAATACAGGTCTTCCTTGATACATGATGGGGTGCCATCTGGGTAAATAAGTAGGAAATACCGTAACTCGAAAATGCACGTAATACACCCAACTACTGAACGTCGCAGCTCAGTCACACCTCCTTTCAGCATACTCAGAACATTTGGACCAAATGATCTAACACAAAGCCTGTTGTATAACAACATGCTGACTATCTCACTAAATTTACTGGGAACTGTCCTGAAAGTGAAAAGCAGGATGGCCGTCCGGGTACAGAGTGGTTTCGCGTTGGCCGCTCACCCCTGTGACCACGTGGCTGGTGGGAGCCACAGCCCACTGCTCCCGCCACGACAGAGGATGGCTCCACGTGTCACAGGCCCAGAAAGGTCAACATTCAAGATCCAAAGTCAAGTCTCTACTGAATATGTATCATTTTCACACCATCAGAAAGTCATGCTGCTGGAGAACGGAAACTAACACAACGTCTTAAATCAACTAGACTCCAGAAAAGGGCTTCCCTGCTGACTCAGTGGCAAAGAACCTGCCTGCCAATGCAGGAGACGGAGGCTGGATCCTTGAGTCGAGAAGATCCCCTGGAGAAGGCAATGGCAACCCACTCCAGTACTCTTGCCTGGAGAATCCCATGAACAGAGGAATCTGGAGGGCTACAGTCCATGGGCTCACAAAGAGTCAGATATGACGGAGCAGCTAAATAACAACAATGCTCCAGTAAAAATTTTTTTAAAAGAAAACACAGAAGGGAAAAAAAGAAAAAGAATAATTGAAAATCGAAGTCTAAGTTCCCATCTCAGGAAGCTAGTAAAAGGTGAGGAAAATAAATCCAAAGCAAAGATTTGAAGGAAGGAAGGAAATAATCAAAGGAGTAAAGATAAATAAAAACAAAACCAAAAAAACAATAGAGAAAATCAATGAAATGATGAGCTGGCTCTTTGTAAGTCAATAAAATTGACAAAACTATCCAAAAAAGACAGAAAAGGCTCAAATTACCAATTCCAGGAATGTGGCAGAGGATATTACTATAGACCCTGCAGGCACTGAGGATAAACAGCTCCACACGCTTAAATTTCACCATTTAAATGAAAGAAACCAATTCTTCAAGCAATGCAAACAGTTACAGCTCATTCTGTATGAAATAGGTAATCTCAGAAGCCCTACGGCTATTAACAAGATTGAGTTCCTCATTATAAAACACACGTTTTTATAAGAAAGAGGAAATCGCCACACCCAAATAGTTTCACCAGAGAATTCCATGAAGTGTTCAGAGAGTTAGTATCAATTCTATAAAATATCTGGAGTAGGAAATGGCAACCCATTCCAGTGTTACTGCTGGAAAACTCAGTGGACAGAAGAGCCTGGTGGGCCGCAGTCCATGGAGCTGCAGAGACTCAGACACGACTGAATAGCTGAGTACACACTATACAGTATCTTCCAGAAAACAGAATCCAATCTATTTTATGGAACCAATATGATACTGACACTAAAACCAGGCAGAGACAATCACAGGCCCATATCCCGCAAACATAGATGGAAAAACAATCCTTAGCAAAATACTAACAAATAAGAGTTAAGCAATTACCGTATAAGAGAAGAATTATAGATCAAGACAAGTAAGGTTTATTTCTGGAATGCTAGGCTGGTTCAATCTCTTTTTAAAAGAATTAATTTATGTGATACGCCACACCAATCGGTTAAAGAAGGAAAATCACAGAGTCAAAGCAATCAGTGCGGAAAAAGCATTTGACAAAATTCAACGTCTGTGACAAATTCTCCCCCCACAAAAAAGGAAGAAGGGAAATTCTTCAACCTGATCAAGAGCATCCGCAAAACTTCATGTAATCAGCTAACATTATTCCAAATAGGGAAAGATGAAACGCTTTCCTTCTGTGACGAGGAACAAGGATGCCTGCTCTAGTCATTTTCACTCTACACAGCAGTAGATGCTCCAGGCGACAGAAAAGGCAAGAAAAGAAGATATACAGCATACAGATGAGGAAAGTGAAAGTGTTAGTCACTCGGTCGTGCCCGACTGCAACACTGTGGACTGTGGCCCGCCGGGCTCCTCTGTCCCTGGGATTCTCCAGGCAAGAATACTGGACCGGGCTGCCGTTTCCTACTCCAGGGGATCTTCTCGACCCAGGAATCGAACTCGGGTCTCCTGCAACACTGGTGGATTCTTTACTGTCTGAGCCACCAGATAAGCCCCCTGATCAGGAAGATAGAAATAAAACTGGTCCCATTTGCAGGTGACAAGACTGTAGAAAATCCCAAGGAATCTCCAAGACAACACTTCCTACAAATAATAAAAGAGTTGAACAAGGTCACAAAATACAGGATCAACATATAAAAGTCAAATGCATCCCCCTATACTAGCAATGAGAAGGCAATGGCGCCCCACTCCAGTACTCTTGCCTGGAAAACCCCATGGATGGAGGAGCCTGGTAGGCTGCAGTCCATGGGGTCTCGAAGAGTCGGACATGACTGAGCGACTTCACTTTCACTTTTCACTTTCATGCATTGGAGAAGGAAATGGCAACCCACTCCAGTGTTCTTGCCTGGAGAATCCCAGGGACAGGGTCGCACAGAGTCGGACACGACTGAATGACTTAGCAGTAGCAGTAGTATACTAGCAATGAACATGTGGACAACAAAATGTATAATCCAATACCATTTGCACCTTCTCAAAAAAACATTTAGGTGTGAATCTAACAAAACTTTTACGCTGAAGTCTACATAAATCAGTGAAAAATAAAAGAACATCTAAGGGTTTAGGCTTTCCTGGTGCCTCAGTAAGTGCAAGTCGCTCAGTCGCGTCCGACTCTTTGTGACCCCGTGGACTATACAGTCCATGGAATTCTCTAGGCCAGAATACTGAAGTGGGCAGCCATTCCCTTCTCCAGGGGATCTTCCCAACCCAGGGGTTGAACCCAGGTCTCCTGCATTGCAGGCAGATTCTTTACCAGCTGAGCCGCCAGGGAAGCCCTCAGACAGTCAAGAATCTGCCTGCAGTGCGGGAGACCTGGGTTCCATCCCTGGGTCGGGAAGCTCCCCTGGAGAAGGGAATGACAACCCACGCCAGTGTTCTTGCCTGGAGAATCCCGTGGACAGAGGAGCCTGGTCGGCTACAGCCTATGGGGCTGGAAAGAGTCGGACACGACTGAGTGACGAACACTTTCACTTTCACTTTTCAAGGAAGTGGAGAGGCAAACCCTGTTCATGGGTTGGAAAATTCAACAGTCAAGACATCGACTTTCCCCAAATTGAAAACACTTGGGTGAAACACGATCCCAGCAAGATTTTTTTTTTTTGGTAGATACAGATGATATTATTCTGAAATTTATATGGGAAAGCAAAGGACCTAGAATTACTAAAACAAATTTGAAAAAGAATAAACTGAGAGCCATCAGTTCACCCAATTTTAAGACTTACAGCTAAAGGAATCAAGGCGCTGGCATTCTGGGGGACAGGCAGGGACACAGGTCAACAGAATTCAACAGAGAGCCCAGAAACAGACCCACACAAAGTCATAAAAGCAACTCAACAGAGGAAGGTGGCCCCCCAACAAAGGTGCCGAAGCAACTGGACACTGACAGCAAAATGAGAGCCATTAACCCGAGCCTTAATGGCTGGAGTTGAAGAAGGAACCGGCAACCCACCCCAGTATTCTTGCCTGGAGAATCCCATGCACAGAGGAGCCTGACAGGCTACAGTCCACGGGGTCGCAAGAGTCGGACACGACTGAGCGACTGCACCAGCACCACCAACCCGAGCCTCACAGGATGACCCAGCAATCCCACTCCTGGGCACACACAGACGAGACTAATTCAGAAAGATACATGCACCACCACCCAAGTCCACAGAAGCGCTATTCACAACAGGCCAGACATGGAAGCAGCCTAAATGTCCATCAATAGGGGAATGGATAAAGAAGATGTGGTACATATATACAGTGGAATATTACTCAGCCATAAAAAAGAGTGACATAATGCCATTTGTAGCAACACAGATGCACCTAGAGACAGTCATACTGAGTGAAACAGGTCAGACACAGAAACACAAACATCATGATAGCACTCACATGTGGAATCTAAAAGAATGACGCAAAGGAACTTATCTACAAAACAGAGACGGACCCACAGACATAGAAGACAAACTATGGTCACCAAGGCGGGAAGGGGTGGGGGAGAGGATAAATTAGGAGTTTAGGATTAACAGATACACTGGTTTAGCCACTCAGTCGTGTCCAACTCTTGCGACCCCGTGGACCGTAGCCCTCCAGGTTCCTCTGTCCCTGGGATTCTCCAGGCAGCAATACTGGAGTGGGGTGTCATTTCCTTCTCCAGGGAAGATGGATATACTATTATGTAGTAAAATAGATGAACAACGAAAGCATCCTGTATAGCACAGAGAACTGTAGTCAATATTTTTAATAACCTATAATGGAAAAGAACTTGAACAAGAACTAGACATGTATCCATCTTATCCATCTATGTTTAACTGAGGGCTTCCCTGGTGGCTGAGTGGTAAAGAATCTGCCTGCCAATGCAGGAGACCCGGGTTCGATCCCTGGGTCAGGAAGATCCCCTGGAGAAGGGAATGGCAACACATTCCAGTATTCTTGCCTGGGAAATCTAATGGACAAAGGAGCCTGGCAGGCTTCAGTCCATGGGGTTGCAAAAGAGGTGGACATGACTTAGCTTCTAAATAACAATAATGCATAACTGAGTCACTGTGCTGGACACCTCACACTAACACAACAGTGTCAATCAACAATACTTCAATTTAAAAAAAAAACAACTCAAAGCAGATCATGGGGGCCTTCCCTGGTGGCGGAGGATTTAAGCTCCGAAGGCAGGGGGCATCAGTTCAATCCCTGGTTGGGGAATAAGATGTCACATGCTATATGGTGCAGTGTGAAAAATTAAAAATAAGTAAACAATAAATTAAATTTTTTTGAGTAAAATTTAATTTTTTTAAAAGCATGAATCATGGACTTAGATGTAAAATGCAAAACTATGAAACTTTGGAAAAGAAATTCTCACAGGAGAAAACCTTCAGGCTCTAGGGTTAGGAATGCCAAAAGGATGCCAAAAGCACGCGCCACACACAGAAAAACTGATAAATCAGACCTCATCAAAATGAAAACCTTTCGTTCTGTGAAAAAGAGGATACAAATACAAATCACAGACGGGAAAAAATATCTGCAAAGCACACATCCAACAGAGGACTAGTGTCCACGGTATAAAGAGCTCTCAAAACTTAAGAGGATAAAAAAAAAAACCAGACCATCCAATTAAGACCGGGACAAAAGACACGCAGAGTCATTTTACAAAGGAGGCCAGCCAGGTGACAAAGGGACACGGGAGATGCTCAAAACGTCATCAGCCACTAAACACACTGAAACCTCAGTGAGTCCCTACACCAACCCGGCCAGTGGAAGACACAGTAACACCAAACGCTGGTGAGAAGCTGGACAAGCTCTCACACTGCTGATGGGAGTATAAAATGCAAGAGCGATGCAGGAAAACAGTGCAGCAGTTTCCTAAAAATCCAAACATGCAGCTACTGTGCAACCCACAGACGGCACTCGTGGGCGTTCACCCCAGAGAAATGAAGACCAACGTCACACAAAACCCACAGCATTAACGCTCGGAAAGTGGAAGTGAAAGTGTCAGTCGCTCAGTCCTGTCCAACTCTTTGCGACCCCATGGACTCTGGCTGCCAGGCTCCTCTGTCCATGGGTTCTCCAGGCAAGAACACAGAGCGTATCCACCTCCTACTCCAGGGGACCACCAGGGAAGCCCCTCTGCAGAGTTCTGATGACAGAGGAGCCAACTCCAGAGAGCTGTTTACTGTATAATTCCATTTCTGTATAATTACTGAAACAAAATTATAGAGACGGAAGACAGATTAGTGGTTGCCAGGGCTGAAAAGCAGGTGAGGCAGGAGGGAGTCTGTCAGGCTATAAAAGCGCAGCATGAGACATCCTGGTGCTGATGGCAACACTTGTGTCTGGACGGTGACACTGCCAGCATTCTACTAAATGTCGTCATTGAGTTCTGCAGGACACGACTTGTGGGGCCAGCCGGGTAGACGGTACAGACGGTGGTTCTGTATTCTTTCTTACAACTGCAATTATTTTTAAAATACAGAGGTTCTTTCTATGTCATAAACTACATTGTGGAAAACAAAACAAACAAAATTACACACAGTTGCCACGCGACCAAAGATACATGATTCTATGTCAAGGCATATACCTAAAATTGATAAGAACATTAGGTCCAGGACTTCCCTGGTGGTCCAGCGGTTAATGATCCACCTGCCAATACAGGGGACATGGGTTTGATCCCTGGTCTGGGAAGATTCCACATGTCCCTGAACAACGGATAAGCCCACGTGCTACGGAGCCTGTGCTCTGCAACGAGATAACCCACCGCCATGAGAGCCTGAGCGGCCCTGCTCGCCGCAACTAGAGAAACGCCCTGGTAGCAATGAAGACCCAGTGCAACCAAAAATGAATTTTTTAAAAAATTTTAAGCTTAAAAAAAGGAACATATGACCGCAACAAAACCTGAATCCTAATCTTCGTAGCCACTCTCTTCATCACAGCCAAAAAGCAGAAGTAATCCACATGTCCACCAAGCCACGAGTACATAAATAAAATGCCAGCCAGCCACGCAACGGAGCCACATTCAGCCCGGATGCAGACACAGCACACACCTGGATGAACCGCGCAGACAGGATGCTGAGTGAAGGAAGTCAGTCACAAAGGTTCCACTCACATCAAGTGCTCCGAGCAGGCACACCCAGGGAGACAGAAAGCAGGTGGCCAGTGGGCCAGGAAGGTGGGGATGGGAGTCGGGGGCAAACTGTTAGCAGGTACAGGGTTTGTTTCAAGGGAGACAAAAATGTCCCAGAATTACTTGTGGTAATGGCTGAGCAGCAACCCAGGAATCTACTAAAAATGCAGTGCATTCAACCCTTCGTGTGGACTGCATGGTGTGCGAACTACATCTCAAATTGTCCAGGGGAAAAACAGCAAGCAGCGACTGGGTTCTACGAAATTTTAAAAGCACCCACTTTACAGTGACCTCCCTGTCCCCGCTGGAGAATAACTAAATTATTGAACTGTTTTAAAATGTTAGCCTTCAGCATTCTGCAGCTATTTTTAGAAGTGCTCATCATTCCTGGAGAGATGGAAATCATAATTGTGAAGCGTCCTGAAACAGCTCTGTGGCCCTGAGGCCTCACCCCGGGCACAGAGTGGCCCGGTGTCCTGGGCTGGGAGTCAGGAGGCACCAGCCTGTGCCCTGGACAGAGCCAGCCGCTCCGCTCCCAGGGGCCCCTCCGCCCGAGCAGAGCTCCTGGAATCCAGCTCCTGGGCCCGCAGCTCTGCTCTACGGCACCCCGAGTGTTCCAGCTAATTCTGTGGGACGGGAACGCATGAGGGTCACCCTGGAGCCCTGGGGAGTGACAGAGCGGGCACAGAAGGCTTCCCCGAGGGCCCCCCTCAGAGGAAACGTCACCACCTCTCACCCAGAAAGGCAGCGGGAGCGGCCCCATAACTGCAGGCCCTCTTGAGAGAGTGGAACCTGGTTCTGCCAAAGGTGAAAAGAAGCTGTTTCATCAAAAACAAAGGACAGGAATGGACCCAGCAATACCACTTCTGGGCATATACTCGGAAGAAGCCAAAACTGAAAAAGACACAGGAATGGATGTGAGAGCTGGACCATAAAGGAAGCTGAGTGCCAAAGAATTGATGCTTTTGAACTGTGGTGTTGGAAAAGACTCTTGAGAGTCCCTTGGACTGCAAGGAGATCCAATCAGTCTATCCTCAAGGAGATCAGACCTGAGTGTTCATTGGAAGGACTGATGCTGGAGCTGAAGTTCCAATACTTTGGCCACCTGATGTGAAGAACTGACTCACTGGAAAAGACCCTGATGCTGGGAAAGATTGGGGGCAGGAGGAGAAGGGGACGACGGAGGATGAGATGGCTGGACGGCATCACCGACTCAATGAACATGAGTTTGAGTAAACTCCGGGAGTGGGTGATGGACAGGGAGGCCCGGCGTGCTGCGGTTCATGGGGTCGCAGAGGCGGACACGACTGAGCGCCTGAACTGCCTGCCTGAGCAGCATCACTGACAAGTCAGACAGTAAGAACAGCTGGTGGCAGCTGCTGGCGCTCGGGCGTGTCTGACTCCGCGGCCCCCTGAGCTGTAGCCCGCCAGGCTCCTCTGTCCACGGATTCTCCAGGCAAGAACACTGGGGTGGGTTGCCGTTTCCTACTCGAGGGGATCTTCCTGACCCAGGGATCAAACCCACGTCTCTTGCATCTCCTGCACTGGCAGGCGGGTTCTTTACCACTGAGCCATCAGGGAAGCCACAACAGGAGACCAGAGGAAACGTGCTCCATCCACAGAAGGGAAGAGAACTCAGCCGCTAAGACGGACGGCGCCCTGATGCGGCCACAAGGTGGACGAACGCGGGGAGCGTTCTAATCACGGAGAGAAGCCGACATGAACGCCCTCCCGTCGTACCAGCCGCTTACATGCAACGTCCAGAGTAGGTCAGTCCGCATAGGCAGAAGAAAGCAGACGGGTGGCTGCTGGGGGCTGCAAGGATCGGACTGTTCCTGGGAGAGGGGTGTCCTTTTGGGGTGACAGAACCAGAACCTTCTGTACTAAATGCCACTGGACTGTACAGTTTTAAATGGTTGGTTTTATGTGTATCTCACCTCAATAATAAAAAAGAACCTCATGCACACAAGCTCACAAGGATTCAGAATCCACTTTATGGAGAGAGGGAGGACAGAAAACCTGAATACAAGGCAAAACGCCAACATTCTCAGGGATGAGGAGGAAAGGGGAAAAAACATCTCATCAGCTTCTGTCACAGCACCTTTCTGAGGCTGACCTTCCCGAGACCCTCCAGGATGTCCGAGTGTGGACACCGCCTCGCCACTGTACTGTCTGCGCCATGGCTTTAAAAGTCTGGGGAGGCAAGAACGTGACTTTGTCTGATGTACCCATTCTCCTGATGAGGAAACTGAGGCCGGGCTCCCAGAGCTGCTGAGCAGCCCCATCAGAACCACAGCTCCCACTCCTGCCTTTCTGCCATGACCCCTCCGCTCCCTCTGGAAAATCGCTCATCACTAATGAAGACCCTGTGGGTCCCTGACCTCCGGAGAACGCTCTTAACTCCGCTTCTGCTCTGGCTCCACACCAGCTTCGTAACAGCTGCCGCAGAGGGTCACTCAAGAACGCGGCTAAAATGGGAACTACGCCCGCCAGCCGAACCACAGAGCCCGTGCCCCCTGAAAGCGTGAAACCCCAGCTGGGTGCTCCACGCGACACCAGCAGCAGGGGGACCACACACAGACAGGGCTGCAGCAAACCCACACAGGGGCCCCCAGTGACCCTGGACTTGGCCAGTCCGCTCACTTCAGCCAAACGGGACAGTGCAGAGGGCACTTGCTCCCTCTTGCTCTTCTCGGGGACCCTGGGACCTCCCAGTGACCAGGCCAGGCTGGCCTGCCGGGGGGGTGGTGAGAAATGGATGATGCAGTTACCGCCCACCCCCAGCCAAGAGCTAGCCCACCCTAGAGACGTGAGTGAGGCCTGCTCACCAGCTGACCACGGTTGAACTCGGTGACCACCAGGACCACCCATCCTCCTCCTGCTCAAATGGTGAGATATACAAGCCAGGGGCTGGCAAATTGCTGCCCGTGAGCCGAATCTGGCCCACAGCTTGTTCCTCTAAATAAAGTTTTATTGGGGCACAGCCATGACCATTCATTCACATGATGCTGGTGACTGCTGTTGCTTTGTAGAGAGACTTTACAGCATAAAGCAAAAAATATTTACTCTGGTCCTGAAAGCAGCAGTAGTCATTTTACCCTAAGTTCTGCAGGCTTTTGTTGTGCAGGTTGGTAGCTGACAGACCGCCATCTAACTGTTACTGATTAGGTCAGTGTGACCAACCCCACGCGGTGGAGGACCGGGCAGCGCCCGAGATCCCACAGGTGGTTCACGCAGGCAGCAGTCACAAAGCAGAACGGAACTGTGGCTTGTCCAACACCAAAGGCCCTACCCGTCACAGTGCAGGCTTTCCAGAAAGGGCTCCTAACCGGATCACTATTTAATATATATTCCATCCCCACCTTCCAGGCCCTCCTCTCCCTCTTTAGTAAACGACGGCGGGATAAAGTTTCAAATGAACAAAAGCGTGGCCAAGAAGACCCACTTGGAACAGCCCCCACCTCTCCCTGGTGATCCTTGGGGGTGGGAGGGTGTCAGCCCCGCTGGGAGCCCCCCAGGGGACCTCCCCAATGCACCAGGGAGCAGAGGAGCTCGGGTGGGTCCCCAAGGCTTTCGAGGACCCCTGCGGGGGCAACGGGTACCCAGAGAGGTTGCTGGGTCCCTGCCCCGACACTGTCACCCTGAGCCCCCCATAAACCCAATACACTCACAGCTCAGACCAGAGGCTCTGCAGAGACCAGACGGGGCAGGAGTTCACAACGGGGCCTGACAGGAGGTCCCAGGAGGAGAGGGGAAGGCAGTTTACTGACTCCGACCTGCACGTGGCCCAAGTCCAACCCGAACAGCTCGAGCACAGACAGGTGTTGCCAATGATGGTGACGCGAGAGGCTCACGGCACACGCAGGCGGATCTCGGTGAGACAGGCAGGGACCTGGGGCCCTTTGCCACAGTGCCTGCACCTGGACACACCTCTGCTCCAGCAAGGAAACCATCAGGAGCTAAAAATAACACTGCATGCGCAGTTGGGGCAAATTCTGCACAAAAGATACGAAGAAACCAAAAAACCCAGCTGGCACTTCTGAGGAGCAAGGAGCAAAAGCAGAGCCCCGCACACACCCCCTGCTCTCAACACTGCCTAACGGGCAGGCAGGCCACCTGAGTCAGCCGTCTGACCCTGGACACACCCACCCTCACCGCAGGGAAGGAACTAGCTCCTTCCCCCTCGGGAAGAAGCAAGGGAACCTGCTGGTTGTCCTTGCTCCCCCTGGCTGCAGCAGGGGCCCCAGTAAAGACTGGATTCCCTGTCTGGCCTTTGATCAATTTCTATTGATTAAGGAGGCCAAGAACCCTGGTCAGTCACAACAGTCTCAACTTTATGTAGGTGATTTCACTTAACAGTCAATGTCGCCAGACATATGTCATTACCCCATTTTCAGGAAGAGGAAACTGAGGCCCAGAGAGGTCAGCTGGCTGGCCCAAGGTCACACAGCAGTCACGCGTCAGAGCACCACCTGCTTGGAGGACACTACAGCATGCATGGCGGGCCAGTCACTACTCCCCAAAGCTGCCAAGATTCAGGAGCAAGGACAGAGACGTGAACCACTGGAGCCTGGCTCCGTCCTGCAGCAGCATGGTACTTCCCCTGTGGATAAAACCCTCCAGGCCGCACACCCCTGACCACGGCCTTGGAGAAGGATGCTCTGGATCACGGCCCTCGTCCCCACCAGGACAAAGGCGCCGTCCAGGGTCTGGGCCTGCTGGAGTCAGGACATCTGAGAAGCTGAACCTGCCTTCATCATCATCCCTCCTCCCAGAGGTCGGGGGATGGGGCCATACAAACACCTAATCACTGGGCAGATTTCACAGTAAGTGGTCAGCAGAGACGTCAGGACAGACAGACACTCAGGGAGAGAAGCAGGACGAAACACTCATATCCCTCCAGCTCTGAGGCTGGCCTGGTCAAAGCACAGAGGCACCTGCTGCACTCAAAACCCCAGTCACTGCGCCTCTCTGGGCCTCAGTTCCCCCTTCTGTGAAATGGGTATAAAAATACTTCCTCCACCCCTAGGGTGGATTGTGAAGATGCCACGAGATCACTGGCATGGCAGTGCCTGACGCAGCCAGACAACAACATGTATTCTGACAAAAGCTGGCAATAAAATGCAAATAATAATAATCAAGCTACCCACAAAGATATATGTAGCTATATTTTTTATTGTTTTATCTTATTCTATTTTATGTGATGGCATTGTTTATTTCATGGCCTATTTCAGTTCAGTTCAGTTGCTCAGTCGTGTCCCACTCTTTGTGACCCCATGGACTGCAGCACTCCAGGCCTCTCTATCTATTACCAACTCCCGGAGTTTACTCAAACTCACGTCCACTAAATCGGTGATGCCATCCAACCATCTCATCCTCTGTCGTCCCCTTCTCCTCCTGCCCTCAATCTTTCCCAGCATCGGGGTCTTTTCAAATGAGTCAGTTCTTCCCATCAGGTGGCCAAAGTATTGGAGTTTCAGCTTCAGCATCAGTCCCTCCAATGAACACTCAGGTCTGTTCTCCTTGAGGATGGACTGGTTGGATCTCCTTGCAGTCCAAGGGACTCTCAAGAGTCTTTTCCAACACCACAGTTCAAAAGCATCAATTCTTTGGCACTCAGCTTTCTTTATAGTCCACCTCTCACATCCATACATGACTACTGGAAAAACTATAGTCTTGACTAGACAGACTTTTGTTGGCAAAGTAACATCTCTGCTTTTGAATATGCTGTCTAGGTTGGTCATAACTTTCCTTCCAAGGTGTAACCATCTTTTAATTTCATGGCAGTAGTCACCATCTGCAGCGATTTTGGAGCCCAGAAAAATAAAGTCAGCCACTGTTTCCCCATATATCTGCCATGAAGTGATGGGACCAGATGCCATGATCTTAGTTTTCTGAATGTTAAGCTTTAAGCCAACTTTTTCACTCTCCTCTTTCACTTTCATCAAGAGGCTCTTTAGTTCTTCTTCACTTTCTGCTATAAGGGTGGTGTCATCTGCATATCTGAGATTTTTGATATTTCTCCTGGCAATCTTGATTCCAGCTTGTGTTTCATCCAGCCCAGTGTTTCTCATGATGTACTCTGTATATAAGTTAAATAAGCAGGGTGACAATATACAGCCTTGACGTACTCCTTTTCCTATTTGGAACCAGTCTGTTGTTCCATGTCCAGTTCTCACTGTTGCTTCCTGACCTGCATACAGGTTTCTCAAGAGGCAGGTCAGGTGGTCTGGTAGTCCCATCTCTTGAAGAATTTTCCACATTTTATTGTGATCCACACAGTCAAAGGCTTTGGTGTAGTCAATAAAGCAGAAATAGATGTTTTTCTGGAACTCTCTTGCTTTTTTGATGATCCAGCAGATATTGGCAATTTGATCTCTGGTTCCTCTACATTTTCTAAAACCAGCTTGAACATCTGTAAGTTCATGGTTCACGTGTTGCTGAAGCCTGGCTTGGAGAATTTTGAGCATTACTTTACTAGCGTGTGAGATGAGTGCAATTGTGTGGTAGTTTGAGCACTCTTTGGGATTGCCTTTCTTTGGGATTGGAAGGAACACTGACCTTTTCCAGTCCTGTGGCCACTGCTGAGTTTTCAAAATTTGCTGGCATACTGAGTGCAGCACTTTCACAGCATCATCTTTTAGGATTTGAAATTGCTCAGCTGGAACCCTATCACCTCCATTAGGTTTGTTCTTAGTGATGCTTCCTAAGGCCCACTTGACTTCACTTTCAGGATGTCTGGCTCTAGGTGAGCGATCACACCATTGTGATTACCTGGGTCATGAAGATCTTTTTTGTACAGTTCTTCTGTGTATTCTTGCCACCTCTTCTTACTATCTTCTGCTTCTGTTACGTCCATACCATTTCTGTTAGGTCCGTACCATTTCATGCCCTATTTATTATGATGTAATTAAGTAAGCCTGGCAAATAAATCATTTTTGCCTCAAGACGTGGAGCATCGTGGAGCTGGCTGAGTGGTCCGTTACCCTGGAGGTACTTCCTGTCTTCTGGGAAAGCCCCAAACCACCCCTCCTTCCCGCAGTTCAGTGACCCCACAGCCAAGCACGGGTTACGTTTTGCCGGGGAATCTCCCCGGCGTTTCAGGTGACCGCACACCCCGGCGGCCTGAGGACTGGGCGGACACTCCAGTGGAGGCCAGGAAACTGTGTATGCGTGCAGGGGCAGCAACGAATGTTACATGAAAACAGTCCTGTTCTGTCCAGACACAGCAGTGAATGTTAGATGCCCAGACACTTCCAGTAAGAATCCAGGTGTTTCGCTGTTGTTTTGAGAATAAACCCCAAAAGCTATTTCACTGGGCCTGGTCTGGGTGGAGCATCTACACTAGCCCACAGCCTCAGGGTTTAGGGGAAGCCGTTCAGCCCTGGGGGTCAGGGGTCCTGCAGGAAACCTACCGGGACCTGGCTAGGTCCCTTCTCCTTTCTAAGGCTCAGTGTTCTTCCAAAGGCTGGGCCTGGGCCCCCCCAGCACCAGCATTCTGGAACCCTGATCCATCCTAGTTAATTCTGGGGTCCCCTCCACCCCCAGTTTCTCTGAGAGGTGGGACTGAGCCCACCCTGGAGTAGAAAGCTGACAAAACAGAAGTTCTCACCTCTCCCCTGTTCCTCCAATGAAGTCCTACTGCTAAATCCAGGAATCACCTCTGCAGAAAGGGGGTTCCATCTGAGAAAAAGACAGTGGGATGACAGGTGGAAGCAGGAGGCACTTGGGGTTGGGGGGAGACAGGGGACAAAGAAATAAGGAAGCCAATCGCAGCCCGCAGTGAGGGATGCTACAAATCCGTGCAGG